CCGTTACAAAGCTGTTTTTTTTTTATGCTGACGACATTTCCAAGTTGAAGGAGTGTTTCTCTCCAGCATTTAAGACTATTTATTTTTTTACGTTTTGTGCTCAGCGCAATTTTTTACAAATATTTTTATACATTTTGTCTTATCTTAATGTATCTCACATCAAAGAGTTGAGACCAAAATAACTTAACGAGCAAAACCAAGGAAATAATTTTCCAAAGATTGTGGCTGAGTTTCAGTGTCAGTGTGGTATTACAGCTCACTTTATTCACAATGTGTTGGAGAGGATTCGGGCCCAGTATGCGCCGCAATTAGAGCAAATTATTTTGACGTACTTATCTGTCTGTGTACTGACGTCAAAGAAGAAAGTATTAAGAGCTTCAGATTTCTTTTTGTTCCAGACTTTAATATTTTGCATTTACAGTACACTGTGGTGGAGTAAGAATGGGATAAGACCCAAGGATAAAATGATTGAAATTTTCAATCTGGGCCTGAACAGTCGGAATGAGCTGCAAACCAAGCATCCCTTTGGGGAGAATTGTATGGATTATATTATCCTGTTGCTGGTCCACAGAGACCCTGGGCAATCACTCAGCTGCTTTATATCCTCTCGTAGGTGGTGCTCGATGCCGCTGTGTTCCTTTCCCGCTCACCTTGAAGAATGTATGATGACTGTGATCAGGAGTTTTCATCTCTAACACCTTTTAAGGTGTAGATTCTTATTCTCTGGTGCTATAGGCCACCGAGATGCTTTGTGTTGCATCGCCATCCCAGCAGCACATTACAATAGATTAAATGCTTTTCAAAAATATAGATCCAGACGCTGCTCCAGAATACATAATGAGTTGAATGTGTGTGTGTGTGTGTGTGTGTGTGTGTGTGTGTGTGTGTGTGTATGCACAGATAATTTAATCTACATTTAACTTCATCTTAATTACAGCATGTTGTTTTGTGTTTTTTCCGTATAAATGCGCACAGACGTCTCAGTGAATAACTTCGAGGAATTTGGATTTGATTTGATTTACTTATTTATGTGGAATTTTGTGCAGTGCCAGACGCGGCGATGACTGTGTTGATTCCGGCTCTTGCAAAGACCTATCTCAATCTCCGTGGTTGTGTCCGGGGATTAAGCAAAGCTGAAGGCAGGTGCATCATACGTGGCTCCTCCGGCATACACGGTTCAGGTGCAGCTTAGTCCTCCCGACGCATCGACCTCCAGCCGCAGGCACCTGCTGCATCTTGCAAACAAGACCTTGACTTTCACACCTGTGTTTCGGGCAATCAGTAGGTTTGGATGCTCACACGAAGCCAGGTTATTCAAAAATAAATAAATAATACAAACTCCGAGGTTGTCTTGACATGCACTTAAAAAACCCCACGAAAATATGCAGCCGATGAAGCCACAAGATGTTTAATTTAAAAGTTTAATTAAGAAAACTTTTTTTTTTAAACAGTTTTTATTTTGCTCTACGAGAAATGTTGTAAGTACATTCATCAGGACATGTCAACCACAACAAAGGTGATGATTGGAAATGTGAAATATCCAGCATATGCACATAGTTTGAAGGCTGCAACCACCCCCTCATAAATTTAAGGAGTATTCATGCATTTCGACAGAAATGTAGAAAAATTATGTTTAAAGTATTGAATGAAAGCTGAAAAAAAAAATCCAAAATTACTTGATTATGTAACATGCAATTTAATGACTCAACTCTGCTAAGTGTCAGACATAAAACTGCACTTCTTGGGTAAAAAGATTCACATTCAACCAATCTGTGAGGAGAAGGTTTTGAGCTGTACAATGAGGCTTTTTAAATGCCACGCTTTTGTTTGAAAAATCAACACCGGTTTCATGGGGGGGCGAGAACAAATTGCTTTGATACTGACAAACACTAGAAGAACATCTTGATAGCAGCAGGTGATTGTTGTTCAGGCCACATAAAACACCTTTAACCCTTTTGTTAGACATAAATGTTTGCCTCATAGCTTATTTATGCATCTGCAGTTACATAGGGTATATTTGAAACCATCAATTATATATAACACACACAGGCAGGCTGCAGTATTTTCTACATGCACCTCTGTGGAATTACTGTGTATAGTTATGAATTGTATCTTTTGCATTAGTAGAGCCAGTGCATAAACTATTTGCAATGTGTAATAGTTTCTTGTCTTAAAAAAGGAACACCTGAAGATCCTCAAAGCATTTTTTCCACTAATATAACTTTGCTGTTTTAAAATTTAAAACGCCGTAGATTACATCAAATCATGAAATCTTCAAGAAGTCAGTAATGACCATAATGCAAATTTAACAGAGAAACATATTCTTTAGACACATTGGTATTTATATGTAAATTACCAAAGCATGGGAACCTAAAAGTCACTTTAAACCTCGAGTTCAGTTTTTATTTTCTACAATGGAGCTGCAGAGACGAAGACGACAAAGGCTGCAACACAAGAAAAAAGAGCAGGTAATAAAAGCGGTAGCGATAACAGACTCTTCCTTTTTATAAAAGGTTGAGCGTGTTTTTCTAAAACTAATCACATTTGTGGAGTCTGATTTGCAGGAAATTAACTTCAAAATTACATCTCAAAGATCCAGACAACCTATGTTTGAATTCTGCCACCCACCTCGTGTTTTGAATAAATTAAGCTTCCACACTTGCAGCATTATATTTATTCATAGTTTTTTTTCCTTTTCTCTCTGACTTTGTAGGTTGTTTTTTTTTTGATAGTCGGAGCTAATTTGTACTTGTTCCCTGCAAAACATCTTATTTTTGTTGCAAATGGTGTCGACGTTCTCATTCAGATATTCAGGTTGAAAGGCCAACGTCTTCTTTTGTCAGAACCTTCACAAACACGTGTGCTCAGCATCAGCAAAAAAGAAGAAATATCTCAGCAATAAGTGACTTCACCTTGATCCTCTTGTATGATTTAAATGATACAGCAGAGATTGAGGTGTGAGTGAAATGTGTTCAGTCACCTGCTGCCATGGTCACAGTCATTATGCCTGACAGACGAAAGGAAAGCTAAAGACTGGGGAGTCCTTGAGCTAAACTGAGGTCCATTACCAGCCTATAACAACAGTTCACCCCAAAGTGGGCTTTGTTGCACACACACACGCACACATGCCGTCATTTAGCAGTTTTGCTTTCGTAAAGAATCACCACCTTGCTGGATGCAGAATTTTATTTTTAAACCTCACACTGAATGCTAACATTTAGCGCTGAAAACCAAGTGAGTTGCATCTTTTGCACATCACTAATCTGGCTTTACCCCCCTGGGAATTACTGCAAATGAGTCATTTCTTGTGTGATTTTTTTTAAAATGTTATCATCTTTTCATCATGGGAAAAGGTGATACCAGAGTGGATGTAGTTTGGTGTGAAAGTTTTTCATTTGGCTTTTCAGGCATAGTGAAAGCTCTTTTGTCTGTGGAACCAAAATACAGCTTATTTTCTTTAAACCACCGCTGTTTCTATTTGCAACTAAATTTTGCTAACAATATGAAGTCTTGAGCACGACAAAGGCAAGTCTACAGAACTGGTGGCAATTAGAAACCCGTGTGTAATACCAAAAACTAGCTTTAGTAGAAAATGGTCACGTTTTCCTGCTACGTTTCGATTCCTGTGGTTGAATATTTAAACAAGGTTTTCTTAGTCTAGTGTTACACTCCTACATCTGTTTATTAAACAACCCACTGAAAACAAAATTTGATCTGAAGTGTATGCAGCTGTGATGAAAATATACGCCTAGATTTTATTTTTAAAAAGACCATGATGAATAATTGTAAAAGCCTTTGGAGCTTTTAATGTAGTCATCCTACATCATGTATTTAACTCTTAGTAAATATTTAATACAATTTGTAAGGACAACTTGTTTTGTGAGATTCTGGACTCTGGTGATTCCGAAACTTTAATGCCCAGAATTTTATTATTTTGTTTACTTGGATGTTTTGACTCCAGCCTAAGATACCAGAACGTTTTGATTCAAAACTGATTTGAATTTGAAACTGTCTATAGTTTCATGAACCTTGACAGATACAGTCCCGTATGACGAAGAGTAACACTTGAACATGATGCTGCCTCCCCGATGTCTTACAGAAGATATTCTTGTTTGATTTGTAGGCAAGCAGGAATTATGGCCCAAATGTTCATGCCTGGTTTCATCAGACTATGAAATATTCTCCCTGATGGTTTTGTGAGATTTTAACCAGGCAAGAATATTTTCTTTGGAACAAAATGTTTCTGTCTTCCAACCCATGTGGAAAATATGGGGAGTTGTTGATGCATGTACAAAAAAGAAAAGAAAAGAAAAAAACACCAACCAGAAATTCGTGCATCTCCTTCACAGTTGCTGAACACATTTCATGTCAGCTGTACATATATCGATGCTCTGCCATTTCAAAATAAGACAAAAGCTACAATTTTGATGTTTCTGCTTTTTCTTTGTCAATTCTCAAACCTGCTCAGTTTTACTTGGCAAAATTTTGATTTAGGAAGAAAAACCCTCACTCGGTTTTACTCTTCCCTGTAATCAGACTTCCCTTTCAACTCATTTAGACTAATAATTTTATTTCAGCCATTCATGAGCTTTGGTAAGGTCAGTTACCAGATCCTGCATGTGAATAACTCCCTTTGATGTCATTTTAATCTCATGAAAAGCACTAGAAGTAAAGAAAGAAACCCTTTTTAAAAGGATACCTTTCATTCCAGTTTAGAAAAATGTTTCAAAAAATGCAAAATTTCAAATGAAAAGATATTTGAAGTCATGCACAGTTTCTAAGTCAGAAACATGCAAATATAATCATTTTTTTATGACAAATGCTTGTTATCCTGTGCCTGTAAAGAGCAACATAAGAGTAAAATCACTTAGAGTCAGAGGGTAAGGTCCAATTCCCTTTTATGTCAGAAATCAGTTTGAATCATTTAGATAGATTTTTTTTTCATGTGTCAGGTGTTTACATGAAAAAAATGTATTTATGTGTTCACCTGCTCTTCACAGCTACACTCGGCGTGTTGTTGGGAATGGAATCAGAGCTCAGAGTGCCAACCCCGAGGTCAAAGTAAAAGGAGAAGACCCTGTAATAAACCAGATCATCGACAAATTAAAACACATCAACCAGGTGAGATTCTTTCATCCTTTGTGGATTTTATAGAGAACTACATGATTTTACTCTCATTTTCTTCAAATCTATATTTACATGGTTCATTTTGTCAGACATAAGGTAACTATGCCCACAGGAAATCTGTTAATTCCCTTTGCTTCTTTGTTAGTTTTTCATAAATTGAGATGTCTCTCTTGTTTATGAGACTTAAGCCTTTCACTTTTTACCTTTAATTCTCATCAAAATGATTTATATTTTTTTACCCTCTCTTATATTCCCGGTAAGTACCAGCACACAGAAAAATAGTCACGAATGCAGAATCATTTCTAAGGCAATGAATGAAAAAAAAATCAATCATTACACATTTAGAAAGCCATTTGGTCTGCTTTGTGTGCCTTCATATTTACAAAATCCGTTTTTTTTTTTTTTTTTTTTTTTGCTCTTGTCAAAATCAATGTGGCTTTTTCTACCTGCCAGTCTGCCTTTATGTGCATGTGTGCTGCCATGGCACCTCTCAGCGCTGTTTATCTCTCCGCATGATGAGATTAGAGCAGTTTACGGGAGCACTTTTCTTTCCTCTCGCCTCAATAACAGCTGCTCTGGCTGCATTTAGGCTGTCGAGCTGCAGCGGCAGCTTCAGATGTCTGTTGCTTCGGGTTCCCAAGTGGCGGGCTGAAGGCCAGGTCATCTCTCTTGACCTCATACTGGCACCCCCTCCTTCACTAATTCTCACCATCTGTGGGGTGTCAGAACACATAAATCTATATCATAACCATCAGAGAGCCTCTGTTCTGCCTGGTTGACATTCACTGTGTGTGTGCAGTGTCTTTTGCCTTTTTTTGCTCTTTGCATCCTAAATGTGTTTTCTCATGTGTCCTTTGGTTCTGTGAATTTTTTAGTTTCAGCAGGAAAGATTGTTTTGTAATCTTGAATACTCGGGGATGGCTTATCTGATTTGGAAATGGTTTATGTGATTTACTTTAAATACTATGGAACAGATTATGATTATGAGCTCTACCCAGATTGTATAATCACCTACAATCTGCTGAGACCAAGTATTTCAGCCAGTGTCATTTTAAATCCCATGTTGTTCTTTCCGTTCCAAGTTGTTAGTTTGACGTGTTTTATTATGTTCAATGCTTTTTTACATTTTCATAACATTTTAAATATGCCTCTCATTATATTTTGAGTTCTCCCGTTGCTCTCTCTTATGTTGTAACAAAAATAATTTGAAGTTCTTTTAAAATCTACATGCCAGCAGCTGGACATGTAGATGAAAAGCTAACTACAGCTCTCTCCACATATTGGTTGTCTTGATGAAGATGAATAATAGATTCAAAAGCAATCAATGTTTCATCGCAGCAGTTAACTTTCACTTCAGAAAATATAGAAATTTCAAACCCCTATTTTGAGTATATTTATTAAGTTGGGAAATATTTCTGTGAATCAAATGTAATGTAATTCTTTTTTTTGGCTCTAGTGGCCTTTTTATTTGATAGTTAATTGACAGGGAAGTGGGTAATGAGAGAAGGGGGAAGACATGCAGCAAAGGNCGCCAAGGCCGGGAATCGAACCTGCGACAGCTGCGTCGAGGACTTAGGCCTCCATATGTGGGTTGTGCTTAACCCCTGCGCCACCACAGCACAACCTGTAATTTTCTTCTTTTTTTTTTTTTCTTAAATAACTGACAGCTTTTGTGTTGACGAGAGACTTTCAAACTTTATTAAGTAACATCCGGCTTCTTGTTTCGCTGAGCCATAGATATGTTGCGGCACAGAAGTTTTTTTCTTTTAGTTACTCTGCAATACAGACAAGACAAGAGGACATGCCACTTAAGAAAGGCAGATGTATGTTGCTTTTCAAGCCTTGGACTGACTACAATAAAATAACTACTATATATATTTACCAACCAACAATAAAAACACATTTAAAAAAAAACTCAAACTGTGACAACTAGAGATAGAAGCTCCAAAAGTGCTTTCCAGTTTGGTACGTACACATCTTGAACAAAACAATTGTGTGTTCTTTCTGAAAGAGTTTGAGAAAATAATGTACAATATTTTTAATTGGTCATTTTCTATCCTTTTGACAATAAAGGTAGCTAAACGTACCTTGGCTTGGAATAAGGTCTTTTTCCCCCATCAACTAAATAAATTAGGTAAGTGAAAAAATGTGGGACTAATTAGGCATTCTCCCTGAAAAATATCAATAAAATAAAAGATTGTTGCCGCTCAATAAGTCCACACACAACAAGCACTTGTTTCTAGGCATATACTTGTTGTGTAATTCTATTTATTTATTCCTAACAAGTTTTATATAACCACCAAGGCAGACTGACACTACCTTTACTTCTAACTGAATAATTTTTATTTTCTGTTACTCTGTAATACTTTGACCCAACTCATTTTCAGACAAATTAGGACTTAAACCCGAGGCTGATGAGAGTTGCCGTTTTTAGGCATCGTTGTAATGACTAAAAATAGCAGAAAGGCACGCCAGTGATGAAGCACTGCAATTTGACAGACTTAATGTCAGTTACGTTTTTTTGACGAATACACTTGGATGCACACGGTTGAGCTATAATTGGGAATCAGTGAGCCAAATCCAGAGACACACGGGCAGCTGACCAGTCATAAAAACGGATTTGATGCGCCTAATTTAACTTTGTGTTTTGGCCAAAGAGGCTGCACAGGTCACACTTTCTGAGCTCCATGCAGCAACACAGGTGGACAATTTGTAGTGTTTGAAACCATAAAGCTGTTTTGGGGATGTTGTTGCATATTAGTGTGAGTTTTATGATACTCTAATTCACACAGACGGGGATTCGTAAGTGAAATATGTAGGAAAGGTGCTAGCAGAAACCACTGGACCAGTATGCTTAACATGATGGTCAGAATGGGTAATGGAAGCCATGCTTTATAATGTGACTAAAACTTATTGAACTTTTGATAACTTAGTGTAATCTGTTCCTCTAACATTTAGAGCATGGATAAAAATACATCCTTACTGTGATGCATTGTGTTGGAGATGCATATTCATGTCAGGAAGGTGTCACATGAGGGTGATGGGAATCAAATTATATTTGCATACAGATGTGAAAAAAGTTATGATAAGCCTTTAAAACATTGAGGACTTTATTCAGGGATACTCACATGTTCATGTCTGATCTAATGTTTTAATCTCTGGAAAAGACCACAAAAATTAACCTTGTTTTGCTAAATGCATAAAAAATGTCTGTCTAATCACGCTAAAAAGTTATGAGGTACAGGCAGCCTCCCCCCTCTTTGGTGGAAGAAGCCTCAGTGAGATGTTTCTTGTTGCTACCTAACAATCCCTGAATTCTGCCCACTCTTCATTTTCAGCAGAGAGATGATGAGACATTTCTTCACATACAGCAAGTCACCCTCCAATATCTTGATGAGATCAATATCTGGGCTTTGACTTTTTCGAGTGCCTTCTATTTTTTTTCATTTTTAGCTAGTCGTGGTGGATTTGCTTGATTTTGTTTTATTTTTATTTTACAAATGGTCTCACATTTTCCACAGTAGCAGGATTTATGGTGTATTCTGTGATAGCCAGCTTTTTGCTTCACATTTTATTTGAGGTTATTTGGATTTTCCCAAACATGTCCTCTCTGGTGTCCAAATGAGAAATTTGGACACCAGATAATATATAGTCACGCATGCATGTTCAAGTAAGCACTTTCATATCAATAGTAGCAAGAGCCTGCTGTAGGACCTGCATGATATTTTAATCCCTTGCGAGACTCATAAGCTGCTGCAGCCTCAGAAAGCTCTTTTGATCTTGCTGTCGTGTTCACTTTCTCTTCAAAAGTCAGAAGGACACCAAACTAAATGTCTGAGCTATAAACAGGACAAACCTCCTTCAAAATCCAGGGTTGTGATATGGCGATGTGGGGCATTGCATTGTATAATGTCTTTTGTTTTCCTTCTTTGTTAACATAAATATTAAATATTCATATGTCCAAATATGCCAGAAAAGCACTTTCACTTGATTGTTTGTCTGGGCTTTAATGAGGCTAATGTTTACATTTGCAAAGTTTAAAAATAATTTTAAAGTTTCATCTACAGGAGTAAATTTCATGCCAGGCCATTTCAGCTTCCCAAGCTACGTTTTTTTTTTTTTTTTACATTTTAAATATGCTTTGCAAAAAAGCATATTTATACAGAGAAAAGTTTATTCTGAATACTGTATTTGTCCAGGTGTATAGACTATTACGATATCATACTATATAATCTTTAGTAAGTATACTGAAGCAGGTATCATTTTACTATTTGAAGTTCAAAATTTTATTAAATAGGACCATCATCAGTTGTTTAGTTTTATTTCTCAGAAGTTAATAAGTCAAATTTGCTGAACAGTTAAAAGAGACTCTGGGCTATCTAGTTGCTGAATGGTTGATTATTAGTTTTTTAATAAGCTCAGCTGGCTGAGCGGTTTTCTTATCCGTCATAAATTACTCTGCCTCCTACCTAAACAATGACCTTTGTGCAATTATAACACCACATTTGATTCATGTATGTGTTTTAAATAATCTTTTTTAAAAATTGACAGCTCAAAATAGGCACAAATAAAATCATTGTGTTTGTTTTTTGGCAGATCACTAAGGTTAATTATAATGCATATTTGTCCCCCCAGACATGTTTTCCTTTAAAAATGTCTCTGAGATGGTTTTTGTTTACCCCCTGTGTTGCTGTTCTTTTCCATCTAATTGAAAAAACAACGATGACGTGCCTTGCAGTCTTAATGCCACAAATTAAAGTCCCTTTTTCTATGTGGACAACCTTAACAAAGGTATTGCAAGTCTGTCAACCGCAGTTAGAAATACAAATATCCCCCTGGCATAATAAAACAGAGTCCCCATTAGTCCCTGGAAATACAAATAGCGCAAATGTAAAATGTCAGAGAGTGAGAGTGTTTCTGTTAATTAAAAGAAACTGTGTTGTGTGATTGTTGTAATCTTTTAGCCCTTACATGTGTGGCGTATAAAGTAATTA